TAGCCTTGTTGGGGTGAGATGATATCTCATTGTAGTTTTGATCTGCATTTCTCTAATGGCTAATGATTGTGAGGGTTTCTTCATGTGTCTGTTAGCCGCCTGAATATCTTCTTTGGTGAAATGCCTGTTCGTATCCTTTCTGGCCCTGCTTTCTTGGTGGTATGAGGTTCCCGTATCTCTCTGCTCACTTCTCTCTTTTATATCTCAAAACAGATTGGCTTAAGACACTACCTAATCTTGTAGACCTCATCAATATATCTGCCACTAATCCATCTTATTACATCATAGTGATAGCATTTATAACACATAAGGAAATCACATCAGAATATAAAATGGTATACAATACTGGGAATCATGACCTAGCCAAGTTGACAGATATTTCAGGAGGACACAATTCAATCCATGACAATGGCAAAGACAATATTGGCAAAACTCTGGCTCTAAGATACATGACATAAACCACAGGTGTTGCAGAGTCCAAGGGAGAGGGAGAAGTGAGACATGGAATGGTCAAGAATGCTGATAGAGGGGAAATAACATTGGCCTCGGCATCAGTGGGCAGGCAGGGTAGACAGCTGAAGGTAGAATAGGAAGAAGAGTATGGGAGTGGACCACGGGGGCAGGAATGGACACATGTTGGATAGAGGGTGGTAAAAGGGTGGGCTGGCAGCTCAGAGGGCTTTTGACTCAACTGGTGTCCCAGGCATCACAGCCTGCTGCTGCTTTCCTTCTGAGGAACCCATCCCAAGAGGCTAAAACACAAACTGGACAGTCTGCCATCCTCATCCTCACCCCAGCTCTGCCACGGAATTTCTCTCTGACCCCATTTACACTTCATCTCTCTTGAGTCTTCATTTCCTCAACCTAAAATTAGTGGTTGGGTGAGATGAGTGGTACAGTTAAAAAAAAAAAAAAAGCCTATGATTTTGTAACTTAAATATTCCCCCAATAGATTCATAATACTTGGTATCCAAAGACTAGGAGGAAAAGTAGAGTTTGGGATACATCTTTCCGGACTATGGCCAGGTTGCCTTTCAAATCTACCTGGACTGGTAGGAGCTGGTCATTTATTTTTTTATTTTTTCAAAAACAGTTTTTTAAAAAAATTGTACTTTCGATGAAAGTTTACAGAGCAAACTAGTTTCTTATTAAACAACTAGTATACGTATTGTTTTGTGACATTGATTGCCAACCCCACAGTATGTCAACACTCTCCCCTTCTCAACCTTGGGTTCCCCATTATCAGCTTTCCTGTCCCCTCCTACCTTCCTGGGCTGGTGGGCTCATTTAGTCTCCTTTTGTTTTATGGGCCTGTGTAATCTTTGGCTGAAGGGTGAACCTCAAGAGTGACTTCATTACTGAGCTCTAAGGATGTCCGGAGGTCATACTCTTGTGGTTTCTCCAGTCTCTGTCAGACCTGTAAGTCTTTTTTTGTGTGTGTGTGTGTGTGTGTGTGAGAGAGTTAGAATTCTGTTCTACATTTTTCTCCAGCTCTGTCCAGGACCCTGTACTATGTTCCCTGTCAGAGCAGTTGGTGGTGGTAGCCAGGCACCATCTACTTGTGCTGGACTCAGTCTGGTGGAGACTGTGGTAGTTGTGGCCCATTAGTCCTTTGGACTAATCTTTCCCTTGTGTCTTTGGTTTTCTTCATTGTCCCTTGAGGAGCTGGTGATTTAAGTCATGGGACAAGGGTAGCAGACTACTTTCATCCTCCTGTTGTTGTTGATAGTTGCCGTTGAGGCAATTCTGACTCATGGCGACCCCATGTGTGCAGAGTAGAACTGCTCCATAGGGTTTTCAAGGCTGTGACCTTTTGGTAGCAGATTGCCAGGCCATTTGTGCCTCTGGGTGGGTTCAAACTGCCAAACTTTCGGCTAGTAGTTGAGTGCTTAACTGTTTGCATCACCAAGGGACTCTTTTCAGCCTCCTAAGTCTCTGGAAAAGAAAGAGGGGGCTGGTATCATTAAGTTCTCTGAGCCTCAGTAACGTGCCCTTGAGGGAAAGGCTACCTTGGCTGGCGTTGCCAGTGCAGTTTTGTCACCTGTTATTTTCCAGTTTTTAAGGCCCCATCTTGTTTGTTCATTTTTATTTTTATCTCAAAGGAAACTTGAGAGAAACATTACCTCTTAAAATGACATAAATGGTTGGGGTGTTTGTTCTTAAATTAACTGTTGTTTTAGAAGACCCCAAAATATATATGATGGAAGAAGAAAGAGGAAATAGTCTCAAATACTAAGTGCGATATAACAATTTGCTGGGCGGGTTCCATGGGCTGACAAAACCCGGGGCTTAGGCTGCTGGCTCAGCTTGTTATCTTAGTATTTGGGAAGTTCCTCTGTGGGCCCCCGGTTTTGGCAATGTAAGCCCAGAATTAATCAATCTTTCTCTTGCTTCCTCTCAGACACAAACACATTTGTACTCACACACACATACTCACACTCCTACACGGAGGGTTCTCAGTGACCATAAGCCATTCAGGGTTGAGCTGCTCAGGAGACAATTCCAGCTTCTGCGGTGATTCCATGCTCAAATTTCATGCTTTATACAAATTCAGGGGTCTTATTAGAACTCTGTTTACCCCTTAGCTTTTTGATCAGATTATATGATATTCTGCTGAAGTTGATTTCTCTCAGGGTTGTTGGTGTTTTTAGCTGCCGTTGAGTCTGCCCCAAGTCATGACAACTCATGCCCAACAGGATCAGACCATAGGGTTTTCATTGGCTGATTTTTGGAAGTAGATTGCCAGGCCTTTCTTCCTAGTCTGTCTTAGTTCGGAAGCCTGTTCAGCATCACAGCAACACACAAGCCTACACTGACAGACAGGTGGTGGTTGAGCTTGAGGTGCATTGGCTGGGAACTGAACCTGGGTCTCCTGCGTGGAAGGTGAGAGTTCTACCACTGAACCACCACTGCCCCCCGGCAAGGTTAGAACATATTTAATTTTGGAAAGAGAATCTATAATCAAAGAGTTCAGAAAGTCAGTTTAGTAAGATTCCTTGGAATGACTGATGTGTGAAAGGCCTAGGAAGGAACGGAGAGAGACTTTTCAAACCCAGAAGGCAACTTACGTTTAGCTGTCAGGCTGAAGGCCCACTTGGTTCCTGGTAGGATGCCTTCTTTCAACTCACAGAGGCTTCAGTCTGTATCTTTCATCATCTCTGTAAACATCTGAATAACGTCTGCAAGCACTCTGTTCCTTTGTAACCTACCTATTCCTTCCTTTCAGCTTCTTCTCAACAGATTCATCATAGATTTAACAAGCAGATTTATTCCAGAATTATCATTACAAATTACCCTTACAAATTAATGTTAACACCTGGTATCACACTATTTAGAACCCAGTGCTATTACATTACTTAGAACCCTAGTGCCTCAGGTTGGCGCCCACTATTCGTTACCCTGGTTAACTTACCCCAAGCCCGAAAGTCTCTCTAAGTCTCCAAGAATTCTGTCTTCAGCATTCAGCCTTGCTTCTGCTCCTAGACCAAGCTCTAGCTCTTGATGATCTCTGCGTCTGCTTCCTTACCCATCAAATGGGAGTTAAGAGAGTACCTACCACATAGGATTGTTGTGAGGATTAAATACATTAGTACACATAACACATTCAGAAAAGTACCTGGCCTGTTGTAAGTGCTCAATGATTGTCTGTTAGTATCTTTTGAGCTAAACATCTCGCTTACTGGGACAAAGATCTCATTCACTGTTTTCCAGTTGATGCTCCTTGTTCAGAAGGATTTGGTAAAGGAGAGAAAGGAATACAAGTTGGCTCTCTGACTTTCAGCCTGGGTGATTGGTACTCTAGGGCTAAAATTAAACACAAGAATGATTAAGAGGAAAACTGCTTTTCTTTCATTTCAGGTCTGGTGGATTCAATACACTTATTTGCATGGCAGGACAGTAATAGCAATATTGTGTTTATTTTTAAAAAAGAAAAGTAGATCTTTCTTCCTCCCAGTGTCTCTTGAGATCATGTAGGGTGTGGGAACAGCACATGAGCCATCATGTTCTTTGTACCAAAGTGGATACAGAACATTAGAGATTTAAAAATAGAGAAACTAGGCAGAAAGGTTGACTTAGGAGAAACAAAGATAAGTTTTGTTTTAGACCTGTGATAGTTGAGGTGAAAATCCAGCATCTGAACAGAAAACCTCTTATGGAATTTGGGAATATGAAAGTCAAGTGTGGTGAGAGAAATTAAGATAAGAAAACAGATCTGGAAAACTTCAGTAGTTTAAAGCTGATCTCTAAAACTATGAGAATGAATGTCTCCCTGTGAAACAAGGTAGAAAGAGACCGTGAGGCTCAGTCTCCTCACTTCCGTGTGGGATGTTTTTAAACTCACAGTACTTTGAGATTAACCTTTGACTTTTTATTTTCAGAATCAAAACCATGGGAACTGTATGTTTGGCTGTCCTTAGGGGCCATAGCTGGTATCATGATTCTCAATGTGATAATACAACTGTTGAGAAGAAGAGGTAGGTATCTGATGATAGAGATTATTATCAAGCTTTCTGTGGTAAGCAGGGACCTCTCCCCACAAGCACAGCCTTGTTCTCACCACCTTGACTTTCTGCATGGAGCATCTTTGCAAAAACACTAAATAAACACATCCTGGGATCTTGCTCACTTCAGTGTAATTCAACATGTCCTGATCCCCTATACTAAACTACCGGGATAAAAAGAGAGATAAGCCACAGGTGTCTAATGTGGAAGATAGACACATATGATAATAATTTCAATTTAATATTGTTAGCACCACAGTAAAAGGAGCCCTAGTGGTGCAACAGTTAAGAGTTTGGCTGCTAATCAAAGGTTGGCAATTTGAACCCACTCAGTGGCTCCACAGGAGAAAGACCTGGCAATCTCTTCCCATAAAAGTTACAGCCTAGAAAACCCTATGGGGCAGTTCTACTCTGTCATATAGGGTCACTATGAGTTGGAATCAAGTCGGTAGCACCTAGCAACAACAATCACTGCAGTAAAAGTATATATAGGATGCTAAAGGGGTCCAGAGAAGAGGCATAACAGTATTCACTAGGAAGCAGAATTCAGAGAAGTCTTGAACCTCTGAATGAAGTTGTAATTACTGAGTAAAAACAGGACTTTACAATAAGATGATTTCACCCAATGATTGAAACCTTTCTATCATTTCTTCTTATCCTTACAACATCCCTCTGAGAGAAGTAGGGTAATTGTTTCCGTATGATTTGTCAGTGGGGAAACAGAGGCACAGAGAGACTAAGTGACTCATGCAAGGTCACCCAGTGGTTGGTGGGGGAACCAGAACTGTAACTAGTCTCCAACACCCAGTTCTCTTTCCACTGGGAAGGCCCATGGGTCATCAGAAGACACATAGAGAACACTCTTTACTAAGATTTTAAAACAAATTCTGACTCACCTTGGGAAAGTGTGTGATTTACGAGGTTACTTAAAGTCAAACTAAATAGTATGGAAAATTCATTACCCAGAATATACTGAAACTGTAAAGACCCAACTATTCCCCTAAGTTTAAGTTTCTAGAGGTATTTTCTCCTGGCCTCTCCCCCAGATTGTCCTGTGATTCCATATCTCAGGTCCCCGGGATCACGTGCCCTGGCTGACCTTTCCATAATAAGGACACAACTTGATGGTCATACCACCAATCTGATGGTTGATTTCATTCTTAATCAGATCAATGTTATTCACATGAAACCTTCTCAGAAAAGTCCTTATCTCAGCACTCTGATGTTGGTTTTGCTTATGTAAAAAAAATCTAGATCATAGCACAGCCGCCTACTTCTGTCTCATTTCCTCCATGTAAGAGCTGACTGAGGAGGAGACGAGAGGAGTGATTCAGGTAGAAATTATGATGAGAATCTAAGGAGATGGGCAGGATGACCACATTTGACTTGGATTTTAAGGAAACACTGAGATACCAGAGATGAGAAAACTGAGGTCCAGAGAGGTTAACTCACCCACATTAACCTAGTTAGTGAAGATGCTGGGATCCCAACCCACACTCTTTCCTCAGCTATATTCTGCTCGTCATATGGTTGTGCTCTGAAGGAAACAGTGCCCCCCATCCCACCACCATTCCCTACCACCTTCCCCAACACATATGCCCATCCTTGTCTCCAAACCAACCAAACCCGTTGCCATCCAGTCATAGTGACTCTATAGGACACAGAGGATCTGCCCTATAGGGTTTCCAAGGAGCGACTGGTGGATTTAAACTGCTGACCTTTTGGTTAGCAGCCAAGCTCTTAACCACTACGCCGCCGGGGCTCCATTTTGTCTCCAGTCACCATTTATTCTGTGTAAACCAGGGACAAACAAAACCCTGCCTCAAACCTGTGCAAAATCTGTACTTAGCCACTACACTCTCCATAAAACTTTGCTTAAGAAATTCCATGGTTATCTCCAGAATGCTACTTGACTCTGAAAGTTTTCAAATTGACTCTCTGGCAATTTATGTCCAGGAGAGTACATTAGCAAGAACACGGGCTTTGGCATTAGACAAACTTAGATTCACTGACAAGCAGTATGACCAAACAAATTACTTAACCTCTCAGTTTCCTCATCTGCAAAATGGGTGTAATACTATGTACTTCACGGGGTTGTTGTGAGGATCAGTGAGTTATACAAAGAAATCACTGAGCAAAGTGACTTCCAAAGATAGATAGGTAGATAGATTATAGATACACTGATCTATAGATGATACATGTAGATAGATAAATCAATCTATAGGACATAGATATAGATGATAGATGAATCAATCTATAGATGATAGACAGATAAACATATCTCTTAATCATGACCATTGGGATAGACAGTTGCCCACCTACTTTTGCTGCCTCTCAGCTTCATTGGGAAGCTGCTTTCCCACTGACAGTGCATGCTGCCACAAGGCAGGGGCCTTTATGACTGTTTGAAACCAAAAAAATGGTTGTGTGCTGCAAATTACTGTTTCTACAGGGTGTTATATGAGGTGTGTGCTCTTCTGGTAGGAAACATAAATTCTGAAATTTTTTCTTTGGGACACAGTACATCCCTCTGAACTCTAGGGGTCCTCCAGGGGTAGAATTAGTGGGACAATGGATATCCCTCAGGACTCAGAGGGTAGGATTGTTGGTGGGGGCAAAAAAAAAATTCCATACTACCTACCAAAATTCAACAATACTCCATGCTCACACCTCACCTATTAATAAAAACATGTGATATCAAAAAAAAAATTGAAAGCAGGAAATAATTGGGTCTTGAAAGTATTATTAATGTAGGTGAGTTAAAACATCAATATTTAAGATCTATAGGCAGCACTAGATGCGTCTGAGAACAGTATAAAATCAAAAACGAAACCTGTTGCCATTCACTCTATTCCAACTCATAGTGACCCTGTAAGACAGAGTAGAACTGCCCCATAGGATTTCCAAAGCCGTAATCTTTACTGAAGCAGACTGCCATATCTTTCTCCCACAGAATGGCTGGTGAGTTTGAACTGCTGACCTTTCAGTTAGCAGCCAAGTGCTTTAACCACTGCGCTACCAGGGCTCCTTCTGGGAACAGCACCTAGGTTTGAAACAGCAGATTTTAAGCATTTAAAGTCGTGATAACATTAGAAAAGTTTATGCTTCAGGTGAGAGTTGAAAAAGCCATTAGACTGTCCACACCTCATTTTACAGTTACGGCAAGAGATCCACTGAGAGGACATGCTTTGTCCAATGCCACACAGTTAATGAGGGCTAGAATGTAGATGCTTTAAGGCCAAGATATTTTTTATTAGACCTGAAGGGTGGGAAGTTTGAACCCACCAGCCACTCCACAGAAGAAAGATGTGGCAGTTTGCTTCTGTAAAGATCACAGCCTTGGAAACCCTATGGGGCAGTTCTACTCTGTCTTGTAGGGTCGCTATGAGTCGGAATCAACTAGACGACAATGGGTTTGAGTTTTGGTTTAAGACCTCCCCCACTCTGAGCAGAGTTGACCTGGCTCCTGAAAAATCTCTCCTTGCACTGGGGAAAACATATGAGACTAAATTATCTTGATCCAGTGGTCTTTTTGAGGGGCAATGGTCACCCTCAATTTTTCTATTTGTGGGACCATTTAGGACTGTCTGCACAATTACAAGTTTCAGCTTGAGCTGATCCAAAAGACTGAAAGTCCTTGAAGACTGGGGTCTGTTCTATATTCTATGTATCCCCTAAAGCATCTAGGACAGTGCTTGGACAGGCATTTCTAATGTTGCAAAAACTCATGTACTTGAACCAAAAGGATGTATTCCAGAGAACTCTGCTTACAGCCCCCCTGTTACTTCTAAAGGCCTCTGAACACCTGTACTATCCCTGCCTTCCATTCTGCACAAACACACACACACACACACACACACACACACACACGTGTTTGTTCCTCGTCAGGACCAACCCTGAACAAATAGGTGAAACTGAGACCACCCGGTACTCCATGCTCACACCCTATACAAGAAAACAACATGTTTCCATTTCTTGAATTATTTTAGTTTCCCCAGTGGCTGTCCATCATTGCATCCCTAAGAATCACATCCTCATGCAGCACATTCCACCGTCTTCCCCATATACAAACTAGACCTTTCCCATTCAAATAAAAATTTAAGTGCTATTCAAGGAGCCCCGGTGGCACAGGGATGATGTACTCAGCTGCTAACAGAAAGCACAGCAGTTTGCTATTGTCAATTTGATCCCATATCGATTTGATCTAAAAGAGCATAACTCTGAAGGCAGACATTTTTTTACTAATTAAGCTAAACTATTGTTTGGTTTTAAGAAGACTTCAGGGGATATTTTTGTCTGGGATGTCCCATGAAACCATGACCCCCAAACCTCCAAACCAAGGAACCAAATCCAATGAGGTGTTTGGTTGTACATAAGCAGCTTCAGCAGCCACTCTTTTGTTGTTGTCGTTTTTGTAAATATATCTATCACATAACTTTTGCCAATTAAACTTCTTACAGGTGTACCGCTTATTGACAGCAATTACATTAATTGGTTGTGCAACCCTACCTTAATCAATGTGATTTTTCCATCACCGTAAACTGAAATTCAGCACTCCATAAGCAATAACCCCCTTCCTGCCTCCCTCTTGTCCCTGGTAACCACTAATAAACTTTATTTATCATCTATCTATTTATATCATTTATTTTATATTAGCTATTTGTTTATCTGTTTATATAATAAACATTGTATTATCTATAACTTTGCCTGTTCTTGTCTTTTTACGTAAGTGAGGGTCAAACAATATTTGTCCTTTTGTTGACTGACTTATTTATTCAGCATAATATCTTCATATAGTGACAAATATTAATTCTATAATTTGAAAAGAAAACTTTTTAAAACCTGGCTAACAATTAAAATGTTCGACAGTGTATTAATTTCCAGAGACCATAATTTGAGTAAAATGTTCTAATAGTGAGGATTAGAATGACATTGTGGCTTAATTTTCCAAATCGTCTCAGATAGGTCATCCCTCCTATATCCTTGTCACCCACCAAGTCACCTAGAAACAAGGAGTGAGAAAGGTGTGCTACTTGCTGGAGAACACGAAAGAGGCAAAAGTAACTATCCCTGGCATCAAGTAACTTAGAATTCTATTAGGAGACCAGATAAGTACATCAGCCAATGGAGATTAAAGTAACTGAATGGAACACCAATGAGAGTAACAGCTAACACATACTAGCATTTACTGTGTGTCAGGTACTGATCTAAGCACTTTGTAAATAATGTCTAATGTAATCATCACAACAGTCCTGCCAAACAGGTATTTCAAATCCCATTTTATAGATAGTGAAATAGGCCAAGAGGGATCGAGTAACAAACTCAATGTCATATGGCAGATGTACACAGGGGTTAGGACTTAGTGCTTTGTCCCTAGGATCCCAAAGCTGGTGCTCTTGGGGAAGGTGGGTATACAATGGGGAGTGGAGACTGAACAGGCCTGAGCAAGGAGTTCATGCTGGAGATCAGAAGGAAATAACTACTATGTTTCTGTTTTTTTTTTACCCCCTCCCACCCCCACCCCACCCCACCGCCCCAGCTAAAGCAGACCATGTCCAGCCAACGATGGAAGCAAAAAGCCTTACTATTTACGCCCAAGTCCAGAACTCAGATGTAAGTCCTATAGCTTTCTTTGTCTGGGATGGACCTGTCATGTTCCCCATAGGATTCCTGGTCAGTTCTCCTCAAACATCTGACATCCATGGTTCTACATGAGTTCTGGAGCAGAGGAAAATAGGGAAGCAGAAATAAATAACAAGAATTCTCCAAAAGGTCACTGAACTTCGGTGTCAGATGGGACTACTTATTATTGGACATAATGGAAAACACTAGGTGTCTTAGTTATCTAGTGCTGCTATAACAGAAATACTACAAGTGGATGGCTTTAACAAAGAGAATTTTATTTTCTCACAGTTTAGGAGACTAGAAGTCCAAATTCAGAGCGCTGACTCTAGGGGAAGGCTTTCTCTCTCTGTCAGCTCTGGAGGAAGGTCCCTATCTCTTCAGCTTCTACTTCCTGGTTCCTTGGACATCTCCACGTGTCTTGGCATCTATCTTACCCCATCTCTCCTCTGCTCGCTTGTTTGTTGTGGTTGTTGTTGTTAGGTGCTGTTGAGTTGGTTCTGACTCATAGCGATCCTACGTACAACAAAACAAAACACTGCCTGGTCCTGCACCATCCTCACAATCATTGCTAGGTTTGAGCCCATTGTTGCAGCTACTGTGTCAATCAGTCTTGTTGAGGGTCTTCCTCTTTTTCACTGACCCTCTACGTTACCAAGCATGATACCTTTCTGCAGGGAGTGGTCCTTCCTTATAACACACCTAAAGTATGTGAAACAAAGTCTTGCCATCCTCGCTTCTAAGAAGCGTTCTGGCTGTGCTTCTCCCAAGACGGGTTTGTTCATTCTTCTGGCAGTCCATGGTATATTCAGTATTCTTCACCAACACCATAATTCAAAGGTATCAATTCTCCTTCAGTCTTCCTTATTCATTGTCCAGTTTTCCCATGCATATGTGGCTATTGAAAATACCATGGCTTTGGTCATGCACATCTTAGTCCTCAAAGTGACATCTTTGCTTTTCAACACTTTAATGAGTTCTTTTGCAGCAGATTTGCCCAATGCAATACGTCGTTTGATTTCTTGACCGCTGCTTCCATGGGCATTGATTGTGGATCCAAGTAAAATTTATATCTCAAAAGAGATTGACTCAAGATACACCCTATACTAACCCTTCCTTGTTAACATAACAAAGACAACCCATTCCCAAATGGGATTATAAACACAGACATAGAGGTTAAGAGATACAACACATATTTGGAGGCAACATAATTTAATCCATAACACTAGGTAACCTGGTCATCTCTTTCTTCATAGGAAAAAAATGAGGAAGCTAGAAACATCATAAGACTCCCTCCATCTTTGGCATTTTAGGAGTCCATGGTTCCACGTGACCAAACACTCCCCATTCTCTAGGGAAAAAGGTGCAGGCTTAAGAAGAACAGGGAAGCTTTGGAAAGGAGTGATGTGGTTTGCCCGATCTTTGTTTAACGGCTTGCAAGACACTAAAGGGACAAGGAAAAAGGATCTTGAGAATTCTGGCAAGAGAGTGGTTGAAGAGATGGAAGATGATATGTAGGCTGCAGATGGAAGAAAGTGAAACAGTGACAGAGTGATTGTTGGACTGAAAGACTGAAACAGTGAAGAAGAATGAAAACAATGTAGGCATGATGAAGCTGAGGAGCAGATATGCTAGGAGTAAGAGGGAGGGAGGCTAAAAAAATTGTGGTTAAATACAGGGATATTGTAGTTCTTCAGACATGAAGCAATTCTAGGTAATGCATAGTCTAGAATCTGGCCACCTTGGGTGTGGGAGGAGGCAAATTCTGGAGTAAATGATGACAAGATAAACGCAGCTTGATTGATACCTTGGAAAATTGCCTCAGATGACAATGAATATACATTTCTGATAACCCAGAGATGCTGCCCCCTAGTGGCTTGAGGGTTTATTACACAGCCCATGGTCCCAGCTGAGAACCAAACTCAATTTAAATATATGAGACACCCTGGAGCATACCCCTCCCACTTGGGTGCATTTACACATTTAGGTAACCAAGTTCATCTTTACCATGGTGCCTTACCTGTCTACTCTATCCCATGCTGCTAGCACTCTCTTTTTTACTGTGAAGTGTAACACATATACAAAAAGTACACAAAGTATAAATGTCAGCTCAATGGGTTATCCTAAAATATAACATCGTTATATTTGGCAAATTAAATCTTCCCACTTTGTTTTTCTTTAAGAGTTTTTGACTGTTCTTGGTGCTTTAGATTTTCATATATATTTTAGAATCAGCTTCTCAAGTTCCACAAAAAGAAAAAAAATCCTATTAGGATTGCATTGAATCTGTAGATCTATTTGAGGAAAAATTACAACTTTCAGTATTGAGTCTTTCAATACCATAAAACTACCACCCAGATTAAGGAAAAAAGCATTTCTAGCACCTCCAGAAGATCTCCTCATGCTCCCTTCCAATCACCAAGTCCTTTTCCCTCGGAAACATAACCACTATCCTGACTCATAAAAATATAGATTAGTTTTCCCCAGGGCTTTGAGCCCGTTTGTTCCGGTTAGAACTCCTGCTGAGAATTTGCATGTCTAACAAGTTCCCAGGAAGATGCAAATGATGCTGGTTAGGGACCAATTCTGAGAACCATTAGTAGAGCAGTGGTTTTCCAAATTTATTATACATAAGAATCACCTGGGGCTCTTGTTAAACTATAGATTCTGATTCAGCATATCTGGGGGTGGAAATGCAAATTATCAGCAGGAGTTTGACCCGGAATGAACCAGTTCAAAGCCCTGGTTTTCCCTTTTATTGGAATTTATTAAAGTGGAACCTTTTGGTATTTTTTTTCTCATGTATGGTTTCTTTTGCTCAATATTACTTTTATGAGATTCATACCTATCTTTGAGTTTAGATATAGTAAATTCATTTTCATTGCTTCATAGAATATCAATGTATGAATATACTACAATTTAATTATTCAAAGTCTAATATCACTCTCTTCCTGGACAATGCTAGGGCCCAATAATACTTTAACCTCACTTAAACTCTCCTGATTTGCATGCCATTTTTGTCATTATTTTATCATATGTATTTTAAACATACAAAATGTAATTATTATTGTTTTATACATTAATATACATTTAGACTTACCCTTTCCTTTGTTCTTATTTTCAATGCCTACATAATATTATTATGAAGATTGTAATAACATGGATAATTATCCAAAAATTACCACTTCCTTTTTTCTTAATTGTAATGGCTATGCCATATTATTATAAAGACTATAATAACATGGAAAATTATCTAATAAATGTTTACTCTCTGCTCAAAAACTCTCCTATGTCTGTGTTATCAGGGCTACTACTGCCTTGTACAACTCACAAAGAGTGTGTGAGAATTATGCCCCTGGAGTTGCTTGTAAAGGATGGTCCCTGAAATATACAGATCAGTGGCCCTAACTGAAAACACCAAGATACAAAAAGTGTATTAAATGATTACCACAAAACCAAACCAAACCTGTTACTGTCAAATTGATTCCGACTCATAGTGACCCTGTAGGACAGAGTAGAACTTCCCCATAGGGTTTCCAAGGAGCAGCTGGTAGATTCAAACTGCGACCTTTTGGTTAGAGCTGAGCTCTTAACTACTGCACCACCAGGGCTCCACTAAATGATTACAGTTGTATTAAAAAAAAATTTCCCCTTATGTGTGGATAAAAAACCCAAAGGGGAATATAACAACCAACTAATCATGTTGTGTTGAAGTGATATAGGACTATGGGTGATTTTCTTTATACTGTTTCTTCCTCTCTAAATCTTCTTTTTTAAAATTTTATTTCATTGTGCTTTAGGTGAAAATTTACAGAGCAAATTAGTTTCTCATTCAAAAATTTTTTATACACAAATTATTTTGTAACATTGGTTGCAATCCCCGCAATGTGTCAGCACTCTCCCCCTTTCCACCTCGGGTTCCCCATGTCCATTCATCCAGTTTTCCTGTCCCTTCCTGCATTCTCGTCTTTGCTTTTGGGCAGATGTTGCCCATTTGATCTCATAGACTTGATTGATCTAAGCAGCACGTTCCTCACACGTGTTATTGTTTGTTTTATAGGCCTGTCTAATCTTTGGCTGAAAGGTGGACTTCAGGAGTGGCTTCAGTTCTGAGTTAGCAGGGTGTCTGGGAGCTATAGCCTTGGGGGTTCCTCCAGTCTTTGTCAGACCAGTAAGTCTGGCCTTACTTGTGAATTTGAGTTTTGTTCTATATTTTTCTCCTGCTTTGACCAGGCTCCTCTATTATGATCCTTCTTGGAGTGGTTGGTGGTAGAGGCAGGGCACCGTCTAGTTCTTCTGGGCTCAGGTGGTGGAGGCTATTGTTCATGTGGTCCATTAGTCATTCTGAATCTCCTTAATTAAATGTTAGAAGCATAAGTTATTTTTCTCCTCCCCCTTGCCTTTAGGCAGTAAGTCCTCCCATCAGAAAGACAAGCCAGTTGATAAAGATCTCCTAATAAACTATTTTCACTTTCTCCTCATCTATTTCATTGTGGCCAGAAATTCTTCCTTAAACTCAAATTTTCTCCAAAATATAATATCTAAGAATTGTATGGGGTTGTGAAATCCATAAACTTGAACCAGCAACTACTGGTTGAATTATTTTCTACACCATTACTTTCAAAGTGTGGATTAGACCCCTTTTACTAAAACTGAGACACACAACATCAGCATCAACTTGGGACCTTATTAGAAATGCAGAATCTCAGACCCCATCCCAGATCTTCTGACACAGAGCCTACCTTTAACAAGATCCCCAGGTAATTCATATACGCATTAAAGTGTGAGAGGCCCAAACCTAAACACTCCCATTCACAGGGAGCTCACTGCTTCCAAGGCAATTCATCCCACATTCGAGCATCTTTTACTAATAGAAGGATCTTCATTACGTTGAACCAAAATATTTCCCTAAAATTCCACTCTTGGTTTAAACCTGAAGGGCTCCCAGAACAAATCTAATTCCTCTTCTACATGACAGTCATCAAATAGGTGAAGAGAAAGACTATGTCCTACCTTGAGTCTTTTTTCCTCCAGTAAGCTTTTCCAGTTACTTAAACAAAATTCCAAGTTCTCTCTCTAATAAAACACATGTGCTATAGTTTCAGTTCTTGCTCTATAACCACAGAAAGTAGATGTAAGCATTATCTTATATCAGTGTCCCCAAAGAGTGTTGAAATGATAACCCTCTGGCATAAGATATGTCATCTCCATCTTATAGGACTGTAAGATGGAGATGACATCTCAATTTACCCCAACATTGACTTTATCCTGGTATTGTGGATTTGAATTCATTCAGAAT